GCCAGCCATGCTGGCTGGGGAATTCTGGGAGTTGAAGTCCACACATCTTAAAGATGCTGAGGTTGAGAAACACTGGTATACAGCATAAATGTTCTTTACCTGTGTATATATGAGTGAGTGTGTGTGTGCACAATCTGTTGCATTGGCTTAAGATTTATTTATTTACTCATTTGATTTCAATGGCTGCCCAACTCACAAAAGTGACTCTGTACCCTGCTCTATTTTAAATAACACTGTTTAAATATTAAATAGAAGGTAATCTTCTAATATTCGAAGATAGGAAAGGAGCAGAATATACTGGTCAGTTGGCAGCAACATTTTTTGGCCCACAGGACAGCTCCAAAGACCTTTCCTTCTGGAATCCCCGAGCCTTCCGTATTGGACATTTTGATCTGCTGATGGTTCTCCAGTTCTTTGGTGGTTCTCCAGATCCTCCCATTCACCAAAGCTTGCCCCAGACCCTCTTGGAACCAAGACTCTTTAGCCATCCAGTGCAATTCAGGATCGTCGATCATCGGCCACAACTCTTCAACAGCTAATGGCATCTAGCCCCAGTCCTAGGTTGCCACCCATCATACCTCCTCCTAGTTCTCCTACTCAGTAGACTTTTAGGGTGTTTTGTTTTAAGCCTCTGCCTTCTCTGGCCTATGGGAAAACTTTTCTTTTGGGAAACTCTTATTCTCAGCTTCTACTTCCGTTGCAAAATAACAGGATATCTGTTGGGTGGTTATGTAAACTTCTGCAAGCTGACAGAAACCATAAGCAAGCAAGCTGTGGCTTAGTGTGGTGTGAACTCATCTAATGCCAAAACAGCAGTAGTATAATTATTTCTAGTAGGGTTTTGCTTTCTAAAAAAAATGATTAAGGGTGATAAAAGGAAATCGGTCCCTGCAGACCATCATCCATTCTAGGAAGAAAAATGACTATATTGGACAAAGCAGTTTTATACAGGACATTTGTTTAGCCACAAACTCAGAGCAATCATTGCTTGAAAGAGTTGAAAGGTTGGAAGAATGAACTGAGTTATGCTTTCCTGGAAAGAGCATATGCAAAGATACATCCCACCTTGAGTAGGAAAATAAGCATTTAGGGGAAACTGTCTCATTCTGGAAAGATCAAGTAATTTACTGCTCTTCACTGCCATTGACTATACAGATACAGAATACTTTAATGGCCAAGTATAAAATATATACAAGGAATTTATCTTCGGTGAAAAAACAAACATTGAATATAGAAGAGGGGCAGCATTAAGTTTGGAAACAGCATCTGACACCAAATAAATTAAACAGGATTTGGTTGCAAAATCCTATTAGTAGCTCTGCCCAGTTGCTAATAACACTGAGTTGAAGCTTCTATATCTCAAGAAGTAATAGCTGCACTCTCTATTCTGTGTTGGTCAAGCTCCATCCAAACCGTGTCCAGTTCTGCGCGTCACACTTCAAGCAGGATGCAGACAAACTAGGTTAAAGGAAAGCAGTGAAGGCATCTACGGGAACTCAGTTTCCAGTCCCCTGAAGGGAGCTGGAGGGAAGTGTAAAGGTTTAGCCTTGAGAAAAGGTAGCACCCGATGTGATGGACTGGAATGGAGGAAGGGGGGTGAAAATGGTGCTCTCGTCTCCAGAGCAACGCTCTGGAGATAAGCAGAGAAAGCTGGCGCATCCCTAAACATTCCAGAAGATAGTAGAGACTTGTTCCTGGGAACTACAGGTCAGTCTGAGAAAATTCTGTAAATAAGCGCTAGCTAATAAATCTTGCTGAATGAACCTGCATGGTCTCCAGGAGTTCCTTGGGCTAGGCCTGACACCCAGTACCTGAAGGGGTGCTACCCAGAAGAGGGTGTTCTGGATCATCCCAAAGTCCAGGATATAAGCTTTGCTTATAGGAAGGCAGGTTCCACTTCAGAATTGTAACATTTCATGGGAAGAGCAGTTCCACACTGGAACCAATTTCCCAAGGAGGCGCTGAAGGATGTGTTCAAATAAGAGGCTGCAGAGCCATTCTGTGTGAGATGCTTTGATTTGCACTCCTGGACTGAGCAGGGAGTTGGATTCATTAAGTCTTTTCAAATCTAGGATTCCGTGAAGCTCTTGAAATAAAATGTCATTGCAGATGACTTTTGTAAAGTCTTTAAGCTGAACTGGGACTTGGACTCTAATAGAGCTCAGAAAGGCTGGGGAAGAATGACCACAGGCTTCTCGCAAACTGCTCTGAGCGTCTCACTGCTGTTATGGCTTGTTAGAGCCGGAAGACGGGAAGCAGTGACCCCAAGAGGTCATGCTTGTAAGTCTGCTAACCATCCTTTGGTCCATCTGGCAGAATTAATGGAGTCCCAGCCTGTGCTAACAAGAAGCTGCTGACAGACATCCTACGTGGTGAATGGGGCTTCCAGGGTTATGTGGTGAGCGATGAAGGTGCTCTGGAGCTGATCATGTTTGGACATCGCTTCACCCACAGTTTCCTGGAGACTGCAATTAGTGAGTATTGCAAAACAGGATCTGCTCAGATCTGTGCTGGATGCTCCTTGTAACCTAACTTCAGTTATAGATTGAGTTCCTAGAGTCCTAGTAGCATTGCTGTCAGGTTAACCTTCTAGTCTGGAACCCAGATTTGTTTCCATCTGGTCTTACTTTCAGCATCCAAGCGCTATCTTCTCTCCCAGATCCACCAAAAGCTCTTTGTCCTTAATTGTACTTTAAGACAGTGATGAAGAATTGAATCAAGTTGTGGTTAAAACTTAAGAAGAATCCCACGCCTGGATCAATAGCCCATGTTCTCTTCCAAGCTCTGTTAGCCTACAGTAGCCAGCCAAACACATTCAGGAAGCTCACAAGCATTACTCCACAGTTATTGCTGTTTGTGGATTCTGGAGGTAGTAAGCAGCCTTCAAGCCAAGTGGTCATTGGTAGCCCAATTTGATTAGTCATTGATCTCATGCTTATAAGTAATCCTCGCTTAATGACCATTTGTTTAACAATGGTTCAAAGTTACAATGGCCTCGGAAAAGTGCTTTACAACCTGTACTCATGCCTACAGCTGTTGCAAATAGTCGTATCATCCCTGCCATCACATGATCGCGATTTGCGACCTTTTTACAACAGTTGCTAAGCGAATCACCGTGGTCATTAAGCGAATTCTGACAAGTCCATTGGGGAAGCTAGATTCACTTAACAACCACATGACCCGCTTAACAATCATCATAAAAATGGTGGTAAAATCAGGTCCGATTCTCTTAACAACCAATTTTCTGGTCCCTATTATGGTCGTTAAGTAAGGACTACCTGTATTTGGTCTGTGGTCTAGAGGTGTGCCGCCCTAGCCTTAAAATCAAGGTCTTACAGCCATCAGAGATGAGGGGCAGGGTGGAAGCTGAGGCAATATGGTGAGGCTGGCCTAATGGTGAAATAGACTGATTGATTATTTGTTTGTTTGATTATTTGTTGTGCCCCTGGTTAGATAACTCAGGAGCAACAACAACTATAATCATAGCAGCACATTACTGTTGTTGTTCTTATTATCACACACCTTTACTGCGACAGGGTACAATCACAAAAACACAATCGTTTATAAAATTCCACCCAACAAATTTAGATCCCAGGTTAGCAGCCAAGCCAGCAAATCAATTTTAACAATAAAGACATAGCAAGCATACATATTTAAAACCATGCCCTGTGATATCCAGAATTAAATTTTAAGTATTAGCCTAGGAACTGACAAGTTTAATGATTGCAGTGAGAAATGGAGGTCCAGAGGGTTCTAATATGAACGTTGGCAATTTAAGCTGAGCTCTGCTCAAATAGGAAGGCATTGAAGAACCCTCCATTGTTGCAAGACATAAGAATAGCATGGAAGAAAAGGAAGCCACCTTAAGCTAAATCTGGCTGTTAGATGGAATTCTGTCCATCTCCAACAGAAGAGAATTTCTATAACTCAGGGTTGAACTGTGGAGTCCTTGGTACTCTCTGAGCTCAGTTGTTTCCTTGCAGATGTTTCATGACCCAACTAGGTAACATCATCAGTGCAAGATGATGATGTTACCTAATACTGATGATGTTACCTAGTTGGGCCATGAAATGTCTGCAAGCAAACAACCAAGCTCAGGGACCACCAAGGACTCCACTGTTGGTCCATCTGTCTGAGTGTCAGTTACATGGAGGTTGGCAACCTACTGCCTGTGGCACCCTTTAAAATAGGAGCACCCCAAAATTAAGGTTTAAAGAAAAGTGTCTGAAGTCATCACAGGATCATCCTCATGGCATTCTTCCATGAGATAATGTGTAAAAACACCAAGCCTTTCTGAGCAGCTTCCCAACACAGAGGCTACCATGCAAGATAGTATAATGGTGCTGCTTCCTGAAAACATTGTCGACCCCAACTCTCAGCAGCTTCTCCAAGTTTCAGGTGAGGATTTTTACCAGCACTCTCTCCAGTTGCCAAGGTTTGCATGCCGCTCCCAGATTGTCTGTCTGCATAAACAGATAGCCAAACCCGTGCCTTGCAGATAAACATGAGTTGAAGCCAATGCTTCATTGACCTTTTGGACTAACAATGTTATCTTTCTCCTTTCTCCCTGCAGTGGCTGTGAATGCAGGATGTAATCTGGAGGTTTCTTATGGGATAAAGAATAATGTTTTCATGCACATAACTGAAGCATTTGCCAAGAGCAATGTTTCTTTGGAAGTAAGTGGCCCATCCCACTGTGGTGGAAGAAAGGAGGCTCACTGAAAGTGCCACGGGATAGGGCATGAGTGACCACCCAGTTCCAAAGCAGACATGTCAGGATGTGAAATTGTCTCTTTTCCAAATGGGTGAAGAAGGATAAGAAACTCAAGGGTCTTCCAAATGTTGCTGAACTACAACTTTCAGCATTTTTCACAATTAATTACACTAAATGGGATTGCTGGGAGTTGTAGTTCAGCAACAAGGGCAGGACTCTAAGGAACATCTCCTTGAAGAAGAAGGGCTAAGAATTTCTCTTGTTTCACAAGTGAGGTTCCACAATGATGGGTTCATATTACAAAGTAGGGAAGTTCTGATTCAATGTTAGGGAAAAAAATGAGCTGTTTGCGTGTCATGGAAAGTGTTGGACTCATCTTCACTGGAACTTTATAAGCAGAGGTTAGGTAGGCATTTTGATGGTGAGTTGCAGAGTGTAGAGGACTGGGTGATCTTTGCTATTTCCCTGCAACTCCAGGATTTGGGGTTGTTATGTCCTGTCAGCCTTCCCAGGTAGACCAGACAAGAAACATGACCAGATGAGCTAATTCTACTTTATTGTAAGGCTACATTAACAGAATCTTGCAAGTGTGAAAGTACAAATCTCCCACTGTCTCTTTTACAGCCTGAGGAGTTAGGGAGGTTCCTTTCTGAGTTTCTTTCTCCGCCCGTTATGCAGCTGCGGGTTATGCCCTCTCTTATCCGATCGTTCCCTAGGCAGCATTTCTTCGTGCCCCCCCATCTCCAGGGCCACTCCCACATTCCATTCCATTTCCTACCAGTGTTCACAGAACATGCTTAACCTTACATCCTGGATTATCAAAACACAACTGCTAGGTAGTCATTACTTGAAGTGCCCGAGCAAATAAACAGTGTTGGCCTGCATCCATACTAAGGCAGTGGTTGGAATTACACAACCTTCTTGAACTACAGACTACGCACTTCAATCTAGCACAGTGTTACTCAACCTTAGCAACTTTAAGATATGTGAACTTCAACTCTCAGAATTCCCCACCCATCTGAAAGTCGCCAAGGTTGAAAAACACTGACCTAAACATATGATTGATTTGATTATGATAAAAAGCTAAAAGCTTCGTGAAGGATAGAAGGATGGTAGGTTCTGTATGTGGGGCAGACTTTCATTTAGTAGTTAGAAGTGGATCTTGGGGGAAAATGAACATAGGAAAAAAAGTGAAAGAAATTGGAGTGAAAAGAAAAAGTATGTTTCTGGGCGAAGAGAAAGTACAAGTCCCTAAGGAAAAGTATTAGAAGATAACTTAGTCTCCCAACAGAATGAAGGGAAAGTGGAATTAAGAAAAGAAAATGTGGAGGCTGCTTGCGAGAAGCAGGGAGAAGAGTGCCACCAAAATGTGTGATGGCGATTTGGTGGAATGGCATAGATAAGATGAAAAGGCAGTGGATGAGATGAAAAGGAATGCTTGTGTTAATGTTTGAGTTTGCTGAGTGCAGGTATGAATGCAAGTGTACTTTTAATTCAGATGATGCCATGTTGTTGGCTAAGAACAGGAATGATTTGCAGTGAATGTTAGATAGATTGTATGATGCAGTGGAGAATATCAAAAGTGATGCACGATAGGAAAAATGGAGCGAATGATTGCAAGTTACACATCAATGGCAAAAAAAAAAAAAAACAAAGCAGGTAAATGAACTTGTGTACCTTGATGGGGTTATGAAAGATAAGAAAATGCATGGGGACATTTTAAGATACGTAAATGCTGGTAGAAAAGTAGTTCCTCTACTTAAGCCTCTGTTTCTGCCTACTTCCTGCAGCTGATCCGGGACCGTGTCCGCCCACTTTTCCGCACCCGTATGCGCCTGGGAGAATTTGACCCACCAACCATGAACCCCTATAACGCACTGGGACCTAAGGATATACAGTCAGAAGCCCACCGCAGTCTGGCCCTCAAAGCTGCCCTCCAGAGCTTCGTTTTGCTGAAGAACCAGAACGGAATGCTGCCTTTTAAGGCAGAATACGTATTGCGCAAGACCATTGCAGTAAGCGTTCAGCGAGGGGCACTCGGAAAGTCAGCTTGCTCCTGTCAGGCTTACGATAACAACGGGCATTCTCTCCTGGGACCTATTAATGGGGAGGTTGGGACATCTGGGAACATGAATGAGCAGAAAGTTGCCCAGATTCTCCCATTTGACCTCTGGGGATTTCACAATAGATCATTTGGCTCCTAAATCTCAAAATATGCAAGAACTAAAAAAAATCTGAAATTAGTGGAAAGATAAAGACTCCCTCAAATCCAGGTCAACTTCTGAGGTCTACATGGACACCTTCATGCAGTTCTCTTCAACTTTCAAGCAAGCTCTGAGATCTCCCGGTGTGGTATCCCATCTCAGTACTAAACCGATCCAACCCAATTTGGCCCTTCAAGGTCAGCCAAGGTCGGCTGGGTGCCATCACCTGCAGAAGCTCTCTTAAATTGGGCTGCTGAAGAAGAATCTTGGCAGGGAGAACCAGGAATAGAGATTGGCATGAAAAGATTTGTGGCCTCACTTCTGGGGTTCAACTGACTGAGCCCCTGTGGTGCTTCTGGGATGCTTTGTTAAAGTCTGGGTTTCTAATAATAAAAAAATAAGGTTGGTGATACAGCCCTAAGGGAAATAGGTGTTTGTGTGCGCGCATGTGCACGCACATGTGTGTGTATGAAGATCAAGATTGAGATAGATATGGGGGATATTTAAAAAATAAACTAAAACTCTGAAAAATGAAACAAAAACAGTGCAACAGTGGTGGTGAAGACAATGATAGATACTATGTGTGCATGTGTGAGTGTGTATGTGTATATATACATATACATATATAGATGTATGTCAGTGATGATACTATATAAACCCGTGTATATGATTCTATACGTATTAGTAATAAACAATCATTTTATTAAGCTTCAAGAACATTACAATTAACATTTCTTTTTAAAAGTTTAGGAGTCTGTATTATACATAAACTAAACAGCAGTATAACTGTGTACTATTATATAAGACCCTGCCCAGTTCAGAAAAGAAACCTCACCTCTGGGGTCACTAAAGCCGAACGGTGAAAAGGGGATAAAAGTGAACTAAAGCTTAAAAAATAAATTAAAACAATGCAACAGTGTTAATACCATCAAATGGGGGTGAGGGGGAGAAGAACTATTCATTTATTTAGAAGATTTATATGGCTGCCCGACTATGCAGTTGTGATTCTGGATGGCTTCTGTATGGTTAAAAATATAAAAATGGGTGAGCCGCCCAGAGTCACCTGTTGGGGGAGATGGGTGGCATACAAATTAAATAAATAAATAAATAAATACGTACATACATACATACCAGGAAGCAAACACACGAGCACCCAATATGGAATAACCAACCCAACACCACAGATTCCCATTGAAATAATTTCATTTCAGGACAGGCTCATCTAAAGCTTGGGAGAAAAGCAGGTTTTCAAGGTCCTGCTGAGGGCAAACAGGGTCGGGACCATCCAAGTCTTGGGGATGCTGTTCCAAAGGGTGGGTGCTATGACACAGGAGTCCTGCTTTCTAAGTCCCTCTAGGTGACATTGTTTGGAGGGACCTGGAGCAGGGTCACCCTGCTGGGGAGGAGCAGAGTCCATGAGAAACAATGGCCCTGTGCCACTAGGTGATAACCAACATAGGTAATACTGATTTAAAAAAACCCTAAAACATAAACACAGTGCTGCTGTTTTTAGTTTGCTTGTTGAATTCACTAATAAAATGGGAAAAAATCAATCAGTCAGTCCCAGAAACCTTGACGGCCACTAATCTCATCTTCTTCTGAGAGACACCATCTCCTCTACTTTCCCTTATTCTTCCTGGCAGGTGGTCGGGCCCTTTGCAGACAACGCTGATCTTCTCTTTGGGGACTATGCTCCAGTCTCAGAACCTCAATACATTTATACACCCAGGTAGGACCAACAATTCTCTCTGCCCCCAAGCACGTTTTTGCGTGACCGCTCTGGTGAGATTGGAGCTGGTGGTGTTAGATCTGAACTCTGATCTCGCTTTCCCCTCAGTTTTTCTACAGTTGGTGTGAATGATGTATGACTGGGGGTTTATGGTGAGGTGGGTGTGCAGCGTGAGCAAAGTTCTGTCTTGCACAGGGGTAAGATTGGGGGAATTTTTTCTTTAGTTTGTATGGCTGGTGGAGACATTTCCCTCTGTTCTTTGAACTGCACTAAGGCAATTTTAAGGATTTTGCTGGTTTTCCCCCCCTACTTCAGAAAGAGAAGAAACCATGCCCCTATAATTTTTGGGTAATCTGGTTGCTGCAGAAATAGAGTTGGGTGTACATGCAATTTTGGGAAGATGTGATGATTTTCTTGATCTACAGAGGGAAATTTTTTGCTGATTGTGGGAAAGGTCAGGAAGAAACAAGAAATTCTGCTTGTAATTATCTAGGTCAGTGTTTCTCAACCTCAGCAGCATTAAGGTGGACTTCATCTCCCAGAATTCTGGGAGCTGAAGCCCACTTATGCTGGCTGGGGAATTCTGGGAGTTAAAGAACACACATCTTAAAGTTGTTGAGGTTGAGAAACACTGCTGTAGGTTGAGGACCATGTAGAAATGCTGAGCCAATGACAGCCTTTTAAAATACTGCAGTATCATATATGCTCCATTAACATATGGGAACATATTTGTGTTAATTGGATGCAATCACAGACTTTGGATTTCCTAGTTGGAAAAACCTGAGCAGGTCTGCTTGTTGTAACCCACTGTTAGCCATCCAAGGTGGACCAGACTAGGAAACCAAAGTTATGAGTTCTAATACTATAAGGTTTACTGTAAGGTTACAGCAACAGAATCTTGCAAGTCTGAATGCGCTTCCCCTGTCCCTCCCTTTATCTTCATGAGAACTGGGGAGGGTCTTGTCTGAGATGTTTACTCAGGTTACATTTTTGCCTCAGACTCAGATTTCTTTTATCTGACCATTATCTTGGTTGCCGCTCTTCCTCCTGTTCCTCAAGATTATTCCTTCTTCCCATTACGCTCACCTATGAGGCTAACTGCAGTTCAGCCACTATCTTGGGTACTCTGCTGGAGTCTTGGGACTCCAAATATGCCTAATATAGTGGGGCTTATGAAGGACCTGCCCAGGGTTGGTTGATCCATTTTCACAAGTCAAGGTTCTGAAGGTAAAGATGAGATCCTTCTGATGGTTCTGACTTTTACTTGAGAAGCTAGGAGCTGTTCTTGTCTCTGACTGGTACAGGAGGGGCTTGGCAACTATCTCGGCAAATGTTACCTATGGCCTTGGTTGTGAGCATCCGAGATGTGAGCAGTACCATCCCGACGATGTGAAAGCTGCAATAAAAGGAGCAGACATTGTGGTTGTGTGCCTTGGGACAGGTAAGACATATGACTAAAAAGGCAATGCAGGGCTCTGTCAGCCCTCCAAGGTAGTCCAGACAGGAACTGTAAGGTTAGAGTAACAGAACTTTGCAAGTCTGAAAGCGTTTCTCCCCTCCCTTGCCTTTACTTTCCAGACAACTAAGGAGGGTCCCTTCTGAGATGCTTCCTCCACCCCCAATCCTTCTGTGGGCAGAGATATCTCTTGTCTGACCCTTGTCTAGGCTGCAGCTCTTCCTCCTGTCTCCCAAAGTTCTTCTCATAAGCCATTTCAGTTTCCAGTGTGATGGATGCTTTGGGACTACGACTCCTGTGCCCTGCCATCGAATGAGCCACTGGCAAATTCTGTTAAGCCTTCTACTGTCTGTTGTAGATCTGTTATTTTTTCCTTGGAGAAGGCTGACACTTCTACATCAGCTTTCTCTAACCTGGTGCTTCCAGATGTGTAGGGTTGCAAATCCCTCATGGCTGGTGATGACAGGGTTATAGTCAGTTGCATCTGGAAGAAGACTGTGGTCTGTGTTTCCTACTGGGTCCAAAAGGGGATTCGAGACCTCGCTGTGAGGAGGACAGACTGCATGGTGAATTGCTAGCAGTCCTCAGTGTTGCCTTCGTAGTTCCAAAGAAGAGAGGGATGAACCTTTTTGGCATTGGAGCAATGGCAGATTTAAGGGGCGAAATTAGTTTCCTGATGTTTCCAGAGGCTGTAAAACCTCTATAAATGCTTGAAAGGCAATGGGGAGAGAAGCCAATGACAGCCAGGTCATTGATCCTTAACTTTCTTTAAGGGAGGGAAGGAATAAGACACTTAATCCACCCATTTCTAAAAAATGAGTTGGAAAATATTGACTATGCCCCACTCTGGGGGCCTCACAGCACACCACCACCCATGGTTCCCCAGCAGGGCACAGAGAGAAAGGGTGCCCCCTCTTACTAGAAAAGCTTCCCACCCATGGAGGTTGGGCAGCCCTGGATGGTGGGCGCAGCAAAAGGGTCTTTTTCACACACTCCCTGGTTCCTTCCACTCAGGAACTGAGCTGGAGAAAGAAGCCAATGACCGTAGCAACTTGTCTTTGCCCAGACATCAGATGGACCTTCTGCAGGATGCTGTGACCTGGGGTGAGTTTGTCTGTCCCTTTCCCCAGGGGAGGACTACAGGAAGCCTGGGGATGGCCTAGTGACATCACTGGAAGAGATGGGGCCAGCATTTTTGGCTCCTTGGGCCACATTTTATTTATTTTATTTTATTTATTAAATTTCTCACCCGCCCATCTCCCCCCAATGGGGGAACTCTGGGTGACTCACACTGAACAT